AAGCAACTGCGATCTCTACCTGTCTGTGAAACTTTCTCAGTAAATGGCATTGGTGTGTTTTGTCCTTTAATAAAATTAATAAAAGAAGATTTATTTCTGATTGCAATCCAGAGTATACTAATAAAACTGGTCTTAAGCTATCTGCAAACTTTGTGACATCATGTTGAATTTATAATAAAGTGTAACTTAAAAATAATGATTAGGGTTAGGGCAGCACTGGCATCCATTCTGTTCATAATTTTTATGGACAGAATTTCTGGGCACAGCCAAGTGGCCGACACTTTCACTTGGGTCTCAGACTCTCATCTCTGCTTTTCATGGATGATGTGCTTTTGTTGGATTCATCAGGTGATGGCCTCCAACTCGCACTGGAACGGTTTGCAGCCAAGTGTGAACCAGTGGAAATGAGAATCAGCACCTCCAAATCTTAGGCCATGGTCCTCAATCGGAAAAGGGTAGAGTGCTGTTGTCCTCTAGCCCTGTAAACCCTGTGTTAGAGAATAAAATTAGTATTAATGTCATGTTAAGTGGGTCCAACTCTTGGCTCCGCCTGGAGCCTGCATCCACACCACAATTACCTAGAAACCAAAATCAGTGAGTAAATACAAACTTCAGACTTGCAAACAACTGTAGGGTCATAGGAGTAATAAGGCATCCAACACCACAGACACAAGTGTGCCATGTGCAGTTTATTACAAATCATTAAAAACACTACTGTTGCCATAATTTCCCCAAATCATGGATCATCCCATCTGTTTAATCAAAACTACTGTAACCAGTGACTTTTATTAAGTAATGTCACTCACTTGTTTTCACACTATGAGCTCAACAGTGATATGATAATGAGCCCAACACTAAGATGTTCTATAATCACTACACAGCCTGCTTCATTTCACTCATGTCTGCCTGTGTGATGCCGAATCCTCCACAAAAAAAACACATTAGCAGCGAAGCGTCCGGAGGTCAGGTCTGGATCAACAGATTCCAGAGGTGCTGCTGTAAATCATGTGGTCAGCCCTCCTTTTCTGTGAAAGGAATGATACTGATTTTAACACAGTATGTGTTAAAATGTGTATTCAATGTACATTGAATACACATTTTCCCACTGTACTGTGTTACTATAACCAACAAGCAGCCAGTAAAACACAGTTTCCTCAACACAAAATCAGTAACACAGAAAAGTGGCAGCTAAAGGGTCAAGTCGGCAAGGCCCGCCCACACTCATGTGGACTTCCAGTCTCTGCCGTCCTCCTGCTCCTGCAAAACAAGCAAACAAAAACACATACATCCACATTTTTTTCACTGTTTGGGGTGGATTAGGCATTAGAAGTGACTTTAATCACACTTGCTCCACATCATCAGTCCAGTCACAGTCCATTCATATGCATTAATACCAATGACATGCATTTGTACCAATCATTGCTGACAGTGGAAAACCGCGCACTAATTTAAGTATCTACTGACAGCAATATTACGTCATTCCAAAAATAAAAACAATTCTTATTGCTTTTGAAATGGATTGAATCGCTACAATCCTTTTAAACACAGGACTTACCATCTATTATGGTAGATGTACTTCTCCTAAGCCATTGTAATCTGGAGAAGCTCACCTTGTATTTGCTCTCAGTAAAGTATTTTATAGCACTTTTACTCCCAATCTTGCAGGCCTGCTTTTAAATCATCAACACACAAAATATCACCCCCAGAGGGGCAGGTTTTTTCCTAAGTGCACTGTTGCAAAAAAACAAAACATATTAGGCGTTGTTCAGGACATGTCTAAATATATATGAAAAAATAAACCTGTGTTTCTCTTACAAAAAGAAAACAACCCTAACCTAACTGGCAGAATCAGCCTGGTACTAAAACAAAAAAACCTGCCATGCAGTGCTGCAGTCACTGCTTCTGTTCATGTTCCCCACATCATATTTACTGGTTGCCCACAAGTGCTCCAGAATATCACACAATTCTGGAAAGTCTGGGGCCAACCAACATAGATCCACCTGCTAAATACACCGAGAAAACCTCATGGCAGTGTTTCATCACTGGAATGTGAATTTCTTCCCCAGGCCTGTGCTTTTTACACTCATTTTTCATTTTCACAGACCCAATCATTTCATTTAGCTTTTCACCCTTTGTTTGTTTTTTTCTCCAAAAGTAAACGTGTAACATGTCATCATGTATTTCACAAAACAAGTTTGTTTTTATGTAATCACAGGTGTTTATCTGGGTGCAAGCTTCACCCATACATCAGAAACAGGAAACTCATTTCAACCCTCTGCTACATCTTATTCACTTGTTTTATAATCCAGTCATCTTTCCCTGATCTAGTAACAATCAACTAATTTGCATATCAGCTGATAACCCACTAAGCTGACAGGACAACAGAAATGCATGTTCAAAATATTATCACAAAAGAGAATTTCCTTCATACAGTAAATTACTTATGCTGCACCAATCAAGCAGAAAGCATCTCACAATTCACTGTTAACAACCAAATTTATTGTCTGATCACTGGTTGGTCATACCAAATCTCTCTTTTTTTCCCCTTTCACAAAAGTTAAACTGTTGTCCTGCAATCTTGAGACACTCAACATTTGATAACAAGTGTCTGTTAAATTTACACTGTTTTAACACTGATGGGAGATAACAAGCTGATCTTCATTGCATGTGTGTGTGTGTTAGTAGGCAGGTTCAATGGAGGTGTGTGCAGTGGAGCTGCATATTCAGCAGGGCATGTCCTTAAAGCTGCACTTCCTTCACATTTCTCTGTTTATGTGTGTTTGTGTGCGTTTCATTTTTACCTTTGTTGCGACTCTTTCTCAACCTCCACAAGACAGACGGCCACAGTTTTCCAACCCAATTTTCACATTAACAACAACAGATTTCATTTTTCCTCCATGCTCTCTTCCCACTTCTCACAGCTTCTGTCTCTCTCCCACATCTCCCGGTTGTGGCGTGTCAGGGGCCCAGTGGGCTGTTCTTCGTCAGCTTTTCCTTATGTCTTTCACTCTTTTCAGTCTCTTCCTTTGCCATTTCAACTCCCAGTATGGCAAATATGAAATTCAGACAGTCTTCTCAAGTCAATTCATACACTGTGATGTCGCTGGTGAACCTCTCGGCTTGTGATTGGGAGCACATGCTTCCATCGACGATTGCATTTGTACATGCTGCTGAACCCTTCAAGGTTTAAGGTAGTGACCGAAAGAACAAGATTGTGGAAACAAGCGGCGGAAAAAAGCTTCGTCTGAAGGGTGGCTGGCCTCTCCCTTAGAGATAGAGTGAGAAGTTAAGCCATCCGAGAGGGGCTCAGAGTAGAGCCGCCAGTTGAGGTGGTTTGGGCATCTGACAAGGATGCCTCCTGGGTGCCTCCTGGGTGAGGTGTTCCAGGCATGCGCAACCAGGAGGAAGCTCCAGGGCAGACCCAGGACACGCTGGAGAGATTATATCTCTTGGCTGGCCTGGGAACGCCTTGGTGTTCCCCCGGATAAGCTGGAGGTGGCTGGTGTTGTGAAATCAGTTTTACCCCAGTTCTTTTTATTCCTCGAGCATCCAGAGATGGCACCGGACTCAGTAGTCATTTTCACAAAATCTTTATTCATCTTCATTTACTCATCTTCATTTATCTTTACTCTTCTTCATTTATCCTTACTCTTCTTCATTTATCCTCATTTATGCATGCACTTCTAGAAGGGAAGACGAGGCCGGTGTCCCTCTCCAAAATCTTCACTCCTTTGTCTGTGAAACACAGTTTTATAGAAGGACCCCATCATAAAAACCCCTAACGGTGTGCTGCAAACTCTGTGTCTGTGTCTATGTGCACGAGCACATGAATGCCTACATGTGCGCGTTCCCGCGTGCCTATATGAGTGCTCTTGTGTGACTGTGTGCACATGAGTGAGTGTGCGTGTGGATGTGTGTGTGTGACAGTTAAAACACTGTGGGTGTAGGTAACTCCCTAGAGGTCATAAAACCCCTCTCACTTCCAGACCACAGGTATCCAGTTACAATGGTGTTTGTAAAAGCATGTTTGTTTTTTGTTTTTAAATCTAAAAACTTCATGAACTCGTTAATATGGAATTAAAAGATCCTTTAACACTTGAATCTACTGTAGGTCATGCTCTCCTTCTGCACTCCCGAGCTGCCAGCCTCTCTCACCTTTTCTCTTTGTTCATGTTTGATTGTAGGAATGGAGTCCGCTGTGCAGGTCACCAAATACTGACACAAGTACCTGAACTTTGCTGTACTGTAATTTATTGTATCATAAAAGTCCTTCTTGGCAAAATGAAACATTTAGATTAGATGTTAAAACGTGAGCTCTCCACTCCCTTTTTTCATAACAGGTAACCTGCATAAAATTGGATCAATTATGGAAGGCCTACTTAGAGTAACTAAATACCTCTCTATACAGTAGTTTCTACAAACCACTTGAAGGCTGTAAAAAGATAGTTGTGCACTTACAGTTGTCAGTTTCCACTGTTAGAAATGTTACCAGGAAACTTCAGTAAATGGATATGGTGGAAGCTCAGATGAACAAAGCTTTAAGACGATCACACAAACCTCTCACGAGTGCCAAATATCTGCAGGACAGTGTAGCTGACACAGCAGTGGTAATGATCTGCTTTCAGATTAGTCTGGTTACTGCAGGGGTTTTATTTTGGATGCTTTACAATTGTAATAGACACAAGGGTGAAGTGAAGTAAATCTACTAAACCAAAGGTGTTAATAGTTTATCTATTTTGTCATTTACTCCAATCAGACCTGCCACAGCAGTCACATAGCTTAAGAGAGGATCCTCTTGATTGTGTGGAGTTCATTCTGTCTTTGTGTAATGGAGCAACTCAGGAGTTTTTACCTGTTAGAGCACTGACCTGTCCTGTTTGATTAGTCATTCTGCTGATAACGCCTTTATGGTGCAATACATACAAATCACACAGCAAAAAAACAAACAACATTTGTTCCTGTTTTTGGAATTTGATCTTTTTTTTCTGGTTTGTGTTTAGTTTGAAAACTCCCTCTCAGACAGCTATAGAAGAAAGCAGCTCCAACTCTGTGCAGGAATCCCGAACAAAGAAGCTTCAGCAGCTCTTCATCACACTTTGAGACTTAAAGCTCCAACATGATCTTGCTCCTCTTCTTGTTCAGTCTGGCTCTGGGTGCTTCTTCTGAGTCTCCTTCTAATGCAAGTGAATTGGAGCTACAACTTGGTAACCATCCTATATTCTGACTCTTCCCTCCCTTCTTGTATTTTAACTTTATTTTGTGTGTGTGTGTGTGTGTGTTTTAATTATTTTAATCAAATTTTAATCAAACACTCCAAGATTTTCTGCTTGTTGTGTTTCAGCAGTCAGTGATATGAAATTCTTCGTGTTGGGTTGTAACATAGATTTTTTCCCCATGTCAGATGGGTTCTACCGTAGAGTTATGATAAAGACTGCTTATAAACACAATAAGAGCAGCTTACTTCTCTGCATGTTTTAACTCTCACAGTGTCAACTGTGCAGACATGCTTATCTGATATTCTTCAGTGTCACGGTTCACTGAGGACTTTCACGCAGGACCCTTCAACTTGAGATAAACACAGTGGTATTTATTACACATTTCACCAGGTTTACGTACAGACAGTGCGGGGAATAGTGCTATATACAAGGTGACAGGGGTATGGGCTCCAGGGGATCCAAGGTCGGGATGAAAGGGGGAAAACACTCGCTCCTCTTCGGTCACTCACAATAAGGAATCCTCTCAGGGTAAACAGGGACGGATCCAGGCAATCCGAGCCACACAACGGGTGCGTGGGCTGAGGGTGTGAATCCACAGTGAGTTCCGCACCAGCAAGAGAGAGAGATAAAGAAGTACTAGAGACAATAATGCTACTGATCAGCTACCTGCTGATCCACCAGGCCGTGACATTCAGAGGGTACATCAAAGAAAGAATGTCAGTCACACAGTCAGTCAAACAGTTATTATTTGTATTTCATCAAGTTTTGACTGCTGTGTCTTCTTCAGATGACCACAGAGCAAAACTACTGCGTGGAAGCTGTCCCCTGTTCTGGTACAGCTTCAATGGCCGCTGCTACAAATATGTGGCCACACACATGAGCTGGGCTGATGCAGAGCTCTACTGTGTGTCACAGTGAGCCAACCTGGTGTCCATCCACAGCCAGGAGGAAGAGGAGTTTGTTAAATCATTAATTAAGAACTTTGGCCATGCTGAGGGATGGACCTGGATTGGACTGAGTGACATCCATAAAGAAAGCAGGATGGGTGTGCAGTGAGTTTTTTACACTGGCATGCTGGGCAACCAGACAACGGTGGAACAAATGAACACTGTGTTCACACTAAAGTGTTTGATGCAATTTAGCCTCTGTTTCTGCAACACAGATAACCTACCCTTAGATACTTAAATGTACATTAAACCTCCACTGTTTATGCTATTTCTTTTTTTTGTGTGTTGTGTGAAATTTTCAAAACTCCACTAATCTTGATTTTCATAAAGCACTGGCAGCAAATTTATGGAAGGGAAGACTGGAGTTCCATCAGTTCCTTCTTTGCTGTTTCACATTTCATATCTTTACCTTTTCCATTTCCTTTCTGCCCACTGCCCTCTTTCCTGGAAAACTCCCTACCTCCACAGTTATGTATTCTGGACCAGCTGCCTTTCCACTAGCTGCCCTCACTCCCTCCTTACTAACCCTCTGCATTTCCTGATGTCTTCATGTCTCTCTCATTTTCTTCATTCACAAGCTCCTCAAAGTATTCCTCCCATCACTCTCTTAACTTGTTAGTAACTGCAAAGAAGTTTAGTACAAAGAAGCTTCAGCAGCTCCTCATCACACTTTGAGACTTGAAGCTTCAACATGATCTTGCTCCTCTTCTTGTTCGGTCTGACTCTGGATGCTCCTTCTGAGTCTCCTTCTGATGACACTGAAGTGATGCTATGATGGTGTCTGTCCCATACTCTGGCTACTCTTTACTTTATTTCTGTGTTTTTTGTCTAAAAATGATTTAGTTAAACACTCCAAGAACCCTTCTCTCCCATGTCTCTGATGTTTTTGTTGGATTTTGAAATGCAGCAAAAACATTTCAAAGTCATGCCAGATGGGTTCTGCTACACCACAGAGTTATGATGAAGACCTGCTCACTAATGAAAGAGCAGTTTACTCTTTGCATGTTAACATTCATCTTTATGGACAGACTGATCTTTTGTTATCAATAAAACATCCCAGATTGACAGAACAGGGTTTTCAGAGGACATGTTGATACTTCAGATTAAGTGGATGTAATGTGATAACTAATACATAACTTCTCACAAAATGAGACTGTACAGATAGTACCTGTTATATCAAGGCCCTGTGCTATTCACACAGTGACACAGAATAACAAACACATGTATAAATTTTTCAGAGTACTAACAGTGAACCTTTGTATTGGTTAGCTGAGTTCAGCAGAAGATGGAGACATTGTTACGATGAGCCTTTTCTGTCTAAACCACCACATGACAGTTTCAGTATTTTAATGAAAGTTATGTTGTTGTTGTTTCAAAAGAAATCGCGAATTTCACAAGCAGACATTATGAAGGTCTTGTACTTCTAATATTGTTATTATATAATCACGTTCCTCAAAGGCCATCTCCAGGTGGACCTGGTTTCCTGTTTTCACTTATGTCCATCTTCTATGTAGTTCTGTATGAGTAAAGGGGTTTTTTGATTGTTTTTTGCCAAATTGATATGAAGAATCCCTTTTTGAAGCATATACGAAAAGGCAGACTGTTACTTTGTGGCACGTTCAGGATCTCAGAGCTACTTCGAGCAGCTAAACTTTGTGACTCTGACAAAAAGCATGATCCTGTTTCTCTTCTTGTTTCTGTTTTCTTTAGATAACCAGACAGTGAAACTACTGCGTGGAAACTGTCCCATGTTCTGGTACAGTTTCAATGGCCGCTGCTACAAATATGTGGCCACACAAATGACCTGGGCTGATGCAGAGCTCTACTGTGTGTCTGAGAAAGCCAACCTGGTGTCCATCTACAGTGAGGAGGAAGAGGAGTTTGTTAAATCTTTGATTAAGAACTTTGACCATGCTGAGGGACGCACCTGGATTGGACTGAGTGACCTCCATAAAGAAGGCAGATGGATGTGGTCTGATGGTTCTGCAGTGAGTTTTGTCCACTGGCATGCAATACAACCAGACAACGAAGGAGGAGCTGAACACTGTGGTCACATGAACTATGATACAAAGTGGAATGATGTACCGTGTTCTAGAAATCATACCTCTGTTTGTGCTACTCGTGTAGCTTGCCCATAGCAACTGAGAACCTTACATATTCAAAGTGTCATGGTCTGGCTGGCAGACCGTGGGGGGTGTGGGGAAGGAGGACCCAGGCGCGGTGGTCTATGTACAAGCAGTGCGTTTATTTACCGTGTATGAAACTAAACAACAATAAATCCCCGTGCTTTCCCCAGACTCCCGTGTCGTGTCTTCTCCTAGTGTTTGTGCTCTCCGGTCCCGTGTCTCAGCACTCCCCGTGTTGGCTGCTGTCTGGCACTCCACCCCTCTCCTGGGGACACAATAGAAGCAGCCGTCAGGACACATACAACCGCGGGCATATACACACACTAACCAAGCACAACTGGGTGACTAACGTGGAGTCTCAAGCAATGATCCCGCGTCAGTGGGAGCTCCAAGACTCTCCTAAGTAGCTCCCCCGACGAGGCCTGATCAGCAGCAGGTGTGTGGCTTCGGGTGTGGCCAGACCGTCAGCAGGGCCACACCCACCAGGCCTGAAGGAGCCCACCGAAACACATATACACACACGCAAACAGGGAGAATGACAGCAACACCAAATATACATACAATAATAATAATAATATAATTCATAACTGCTCAGGGATCCTGGGTCGCTCAGACCCAGGATCCCTGACACAAAGACTTTCATGTTAATTATTGCTGGATCAAAACTGTAAATATCACTGATGTGAAGTCATACCTTAATTCTAAATCTATATGTTATTCTGTCAAAATCTTTAATTTTATCATAGTTTTGTGACATTTTAGAAGAAGCTGAACTGTCTGATATTGAATCCAGGCTGTACATTAAGCTTCATGAATGACTCCAGCCAGTGATATAACGACAGTGTGCATCTCATGATTAAAGCTTTTCGATCTGGCTCTGGGTGTGTTCTTGCATTCAAATGAACTTAAAGTAAAGCTACTGAGTGCTAACTATCACATCTAATTTTAGAACTACATATATACAAGATACACAGATGGAAACACAAGCAAAACTCACCACTTGTTTCCAAAATTTACAAAGCCTGAGTGTCGTTGCTGTACTAGTGAAGTTGCAGGTCTTTGACTCCAGGCAGGTGCATTTCTCAGTGAGTGAGGCAGGAACTTCAGGTGGGTAATTAGTAAGCAGACAAGACACAAAGGCGACAGAACAGAATTTACAAAAGTCATCATCAAACAAGTTTAGCCAATTTGCCACCATAATGAAGTCACGTTGTCACAGCTAGTCCTTAAATACACAGTACAGATAAAAGCAATGAGTTGCAGGTGTGTGAGCAAGCCTGGGAAAAGGCACAGGTTATCTGCTCACCTCTTCATCGCCTAAGATGCACGGACATCAACAGTAGCTGTTCAGTGGACATCAAAAACATTACAAAACAACTCCTTCAGTGGACCAAAATTGGACATCCAAAAATGACAACATCTGTTTACACAGTGGGAAAGGTTGTCCAATTAATTAGGCTGCTTTTGAAAGTTTGCAAATGTGAAAAGGGGTGACGACAAACAGCATATTCCATTAATATTAATTATTTAGCACTGTATGCATGAGATTATGATTTGGGGCTGACCCCCCTAAAAGTTTGAACCTAAAATCACCTCCGAAGGAAAGAACAAAGCTCTTCCTTATTAAATTTTATAGAAAAACTTAAAGAGAATGAGAGCTAATGCTCTTTAATGCAGGGAATTAGCTCGCTCTGTGTTTACTAGAGCAGATCTATTTGTCTCTTTCTGTTACTGTAACCTTTCCTGTTTGTTTAATCATTATGCTGTAAAGGCCTTTGATCATACCATAAATATACAATTATAGCAAAAACAGCCACGTTCTCCTGGAAGTCCAAAGAAAATGTTACTGCTTAAAAACTATCAAGTTCTTTGGCGTCTCATGATTTTCTTTGTCTTCTGTTTTGATTTATTGTGTCCAACAGAAAGCTTTGTGTATTACTAGGAATTAGTTAATTTATTGTGTACTGCAGCCTGGTGTTGAGTCCACTGACAGAGACACAGCTTGGTAAGAAGAAAAGACATCTGACGGCTCGCTTATCTGTACATGATGTGCTGCAGAACTATGTTCTTCTGAAGTGGCTTGAAAAACAAACTGAAGAAACATATCTTTTTTTAATATCTTTTTTTTTTTTTTGTTATTCAGAGGTTGCATGAAAATACTATAACAGGCAGTTTTATTCAAGCTAAGCTAGTTTATAGTGATGAACTGTGCTGGGCTGCTCCACTGCAGGCTGTGGTGTTCATGGTCAATGTTAGGATATACATCAAGGGTAAAAGATATGAATTTATATTTAAAGTGATGATACTGATTAGTTCAACTCACCAAATTACCTTTTATACCAGCTTTATGGTCTCAAGGAAATTAGTTTGAGAAATATCTGTTTATATCTTGTTGAATTCAGTTGGCTAAATTCACAAAGAGCCATGAACATTAGAAAAGTGTAGGTCAGCAGATAACAGTCGGACATAACAGGGGCAAGTGGGAATTTTATATACATATAGCCACTTTGGGTGGCTGTAGCTCAGGTGGTGGAGCAGGTGTTGATTTACTAATTGGAAGGGTCTAGTTTGATCCCTGGTTGCTCCAGTCCACGTGCTAAATATCCTTGGCCAACATAATAACCCCAAGTTGCTGCCTTATGCATCAACTGAAGTATGAGCGTGTGTAAATGTTCTGTCTTCATTTATGAGAGCAGCTCTGCTTGCCCCTTCCTGTTACAACTGTCCTCTTTCTTTAATCATTATGCTGAAAAGGCCTTTGAACAAACCATAAATATAGAATTACAGCAAAAACAGCCACGTTCTCCTGGAAGTACCAAGAAAACGTGACTGTTCAACAACTATTAACTTTTTGGCATGTGATGTTTTTTCTGGCTTATGTTTATTGTTATTGTGTACAGTGGAAAGCTTTGGTCCATGTGGCCAATGATGTCACACCAGCAGTGAAATCTCGCTCTGCTCAGCTATAAAAGAAAGCAGCTTCAACTCTGCAGAAATCTGAACATCCTGTACAAAGAAGCGTCAGCAGCTCCTCATCACACTTTGAGACTTAAAGCTCCAACATGATCTTGCTCCTCTTCCTGTTCAGTCTGGCTCTGGGTGCTCCTTCTGAGTCTCCGTCTGATGAAAATGAAGTGAAGCTCCAACTTGGTAACTGTCTCATATTCTGACTGCTCTTTTCTCTACTTTTCCCTTTATTTATGTCTTTTTTATTTCACTTCGAGAACATGTTGTGCATATTTCTGATGTCTCTATTTAAGCAGAGTCAATGATACAAAATTCTACAAAATTCCCAACATCAGATGGGTTCTACTCTTGTTAATCTCGTTAAAGTGACATTAAAGCCATAACCGCTTTAACGCGGCTAATCTCCGTTAGCAAGTTATCACGGATCGCCCCATCTGTGGGGCTGGACGACACTAATGCATTAACGAGCTAACTGTGCTGAGGCTTTGACACCTTGCACCTTCCCGCGTTGATGCGGCTATGGCGTTAAAGTCATTTTAATGAGATTAACGCTGACAGCACTAGTTTTACTATAACACAGAGTTATGATAAATACTTGCTGGTAAACACAATAAGAGCAGCTTACTTCTCTGCATGCTTTAACTTTCACAGTATCAACTGTGCAGACATGCTTGTCTGATGTGCCGTCTCTGAAGAATCCCAAAGAAAAAAGTCTGTCACACTGACAAAAACCTGATCCCTTTCATTCCTGCTTTTTCATTGAGTTCTGACTGCTGTGTCTTCTTCAGATGACCACAGAGTTCAACTACTGCGTGGAAGCTGTCCCATGTTCTGGTACAGTTTCAATGGCCGCTGCTACAAATATGTGGCCACACACATGAGCTGGGCTGATGCAGAGCTCTACTGTGTGTCACAGCGAGCCAACCTGGTGTCTATCCACAGCCAGGAGGAAGAGGAGTTTGTTAAATCATTAATTAAGAACTTTGACCATGCTGAGGGATGGACCTGGATTGGACTGAGTGACCTCCATAAAGAAGGCAGATGGATGTGGTCTGATGGTTGTGCAGTGAGTTTCGTCTACTGGCATGCAGGACAACCAGACAACGCAGGAACAAATGAACACTGTGGTCACACTAACGTGTTTGAAGCAAAGAAGTGGAATGATCACCAGTGTTCTCTCAATTTAGCTTCTGTTTGTGCAACACGGATAAACTGCCCTTAGAAACTGAAAAATACTTTTAATCTGCACTATTTGGGTTGGAACGATGCAGAACTGTGTTCTGGTTCCTTCAGTTAATGAGCAACTCAGTCTGATAGACAGATGAACGTGTATTACTGGGAATGAGTTAATTTGTTGTGTACTGCAGCCTGGTGTTGAGTCCACTGACAGAGACACTTTATAAGTAACAAGAAAATAAGACATCTGACGGCTCGCTTATCTGAACATGATATGCTGCTGAACTATGTTCTTCTGAAGTGTCTTGAAAAACAAACTGTAGAAACGTGTTATTTTTATTGATGAACTGTGCTGGGCTGCTCCACTGCAGGCTGTGGTGTTCATGGTCAATGTTAGGATATACATCAAGGATAAGAGACATGAATTTATATTTAGAGTGATGAAACTGATTAGTTCAACTCACCAATTTACTTTTTATACCAGCTTTAGGCTCTCAAGGAAATTAGTTTGTAAAGCATCTGCTCATATCTTGTTGAATTCAGACCTTCTCTGCAGGTCACCAAATTATCAAATCAAATCAAATCACTTTTATTGTCACATCACATGTGCAGGTACATTGGTACAGCACATGTGAGTGAAATTCTTGTGTGCGAGCTTCACAAGCAACAGAGTTGTGCAAAATACAATAATGTAAACAAGCAAAATACAAGAATGGCTACATCTGAAACTAATAAATATATGTACAATATATAATAGTATATGCATTTCTGGATGTGTATACTAAATATTTTTCTACACGTGTGTGTGTGTGTGTGTGTGTGTGTGTGTGTGTGTGTACACATATTTTACAAATTAAATAGAGTACCCTTATACTACCCTAAGTATCTGGACTTTGCTGTAGTTTTATTGTATCATAAAGGTCCTTCATTGGCAAAGTGGAACATTTAGATCAGATCTTAAAACGTGAGCTCTTCACT